TAAAATGGCTGAAAGACACATAAGAAAGTTCTCAACATCTTTAACCATCAGGGAAATGCAAATCAAAACAACTCTGAGACACCATCTTACTCCTGTCAGAATGGGTAAAATCAAGAACACCTAGGACAGTTTATGCTGGAGAGGATGTGGAGAAAGGGGAACACTCCTCCACTGATGGTGGGAGTGCCAACTTGTACAGCCACTTAGGAAATCAGTATGGCAACTCCTCAGGAAAATGGGAATCAGTCTACCATAAGATCCAGCTATCATGATTTCTTTTTTTAACCTTTAAAATTTAAATTGGAAACAAGCTTCTTTTACATGGCAATCTCAGTTATCTCTCCCTCCCCTCCTCTCCTGCTCCACACTGACCCCTTATCCCAAACCCTTTCTGCTCCCCAGGGAGGGTGAGACTTTCCATGGGGGATCTTCAGTTACAAACTTCTAGCTTAACCAATCACACAAATGTAGTTTTACATACTAATACCCCTTCTCCCCTCTTAGAAACCATAGCCCTTACTCCACCAACCCTTCCCATCTCTTAAATTATTCCCAGACATTTCACAAGTCAAGTCTCCTGTGAAACATAAGGCACTTGGTTTGTCAGATCTTATCTGTTTCCTTGGCCTTGAGAATGCATGCCTTGTATCTTTAGCTAGCATGATTTCTAACAACATTCTGAACATGTCTCTTATACCAACAGGTAAGTGTAGTCTTCACCTCTCATCAAAGAAACTTCTCTTTGCAACAGAAAGAGACCACCATAGAAAACCACAACTAAACAAAATTCATAAATGTTTGTGGTTTTGAGGAGGATAATGCCATGGAAATTATATCCAATGACCTTTTGTTGATACTGTAACTACATGGTTTGCTTAAAAGTTTGGATTACTTTGAAACTCTGGACTTTTACCATGTAATCTTCATTTTGTTTAACACAAGCATGCATATGCTGGTCCTCTCTCATGATTAGAACTTAATGAAATGTTTGCTTACCTCAGAAAGTATTCTGACAAGCTAATATAAGGTAAAAATTCTTCTTTCGCCTCTGTGTACTATTTCTTTTCTTATTCAGTAGGCTGTGAATATGTGTTGCTTTTATTGGGTGATAAATAAAGCTGATTTGGTCAATGGCCAAGGAGAATATAGCTAAGAGGGAAATACAAACAGAGAAAGAGAGAGAAAGATGGCGGATTCAGGGAGACTCCATGTAGCAGCAAAGGGGTAAGATGCCAGAACATTACCGGTAAGCCATAGTCATATATGATATGCAGATTATTAAAATGGGTTAATTTATAAGAGAGAACTAGCCAGTAATAAGCCTGAGTCACTCACTAAATAGTTATATGTAATATTAGCTTATAAGTGATTATTTTATAAGTGGTTGTGGGAACCCTCGAGTGGAAGAGAAACTGGTCCAGGGAGACTAGCAGGACAGAAAAAAGCATTCAACTACAGGTATGTCTCTGTGAACACAATTGTGTGTCTCTTGTTTGTTTAGTACTTATTAAAACCACTGTACGTAAGCACCACAAACACAAAGAACATTTCTTATTTTGCATGGACTTATTAGCAAGTCTTGACATTATAGTTCAAACTCAGCAGAGGTAAAAAACAATTTAACATATTGACATGCCTTCTTAAAAATTATATGTCAAATAAGGGAAGCATACATGTTCTGTAGACACAAAAATATAAATTTCTATCCCTTACCCTTACTGTCAAACAGGTTTCCTATAGTTCTTTTCTTACCAAAAGAATTATTTTAAAAAATTAATGAAAATAAACCTATAATCTCCACTGATAAGCAGAGTTGAATTCTCATAGAATATTTAATCACTTGCTCCCCAGTTGTGTGAGATAAGGGCATGTTGTAGTCCTCTTGGGATATTTTTCCCATGAGATCTCCTTGACTATCGAACTCTCTTCTGGTTACCACCTTTTTACATGTGAAATCTCCATTGGCCTATCACTAAAGGAAGTGGACCAAAGCAAGAGCCTTTTTTATTTTGTTATTGATCTATTAATAAAACCAACAATTAATTTCTCCCCAATGTCATGTTAGCAAGAGTGTGTTCCTTAGGGAAAAATGACAGTGGTATTATTTGTTTGGATAAAACAGCAACCACACCTTACCAAGTATGAGAAATGATGAACAGTACTATTTTGTCACACCAGGCATCCTTCAGGGCAGGTGTCCTTGGGGTTACCTGCATGCTATTCCTTTTGTGGGATGAGTATATTATTAAATTTAAATAGGTCATATAATTTATCTAAGAAAGAAGACCCAGGAATAGAGCTTTTGTTGAAGGGTTCCAAAGCCAGGGTGTTATTTTCTTTCATGTGGAGATCTTTAGCATTCCTGCTAGATACTAAGATAAGAGTCTCCAAATAAAGACATTTTCTTACTTTCAAGGACTGAATTATGAATTGAACCCTAATTACATATGAAGGTACTAGATTTGCATGCTGCTTTTCTCAGGTAAGAATGTAAACTCCTGGGTCAGACACATAGCCTTCATGAACTTGAGGACAGAAATAAGCAGGAGATTACAACCTGTGAGATCAGCTATCTTTCCTTTGGTTCACTGAGAGTTTAGACTGCATTGTTTGCATATGGTTAAACTTTGTATCAGAGATAATCGGACACTGTATGCCCAAATAAAGTGGTGATATTATTAAAATGTATTTATCTTAGGACATAAGGCAATTAATAGATCATCGGTGCCTAATTTACTTAAAGTAAACTTGGTTGATTTTAAAATAAGTATTTTAACTAATATAATCTTGTTTGGCTCTTGTAGGGAAAGTGATAATATGGGTTATCTTAACTAATTCCAGAGTTGATGAAAACACCAATGGGGGTATCATTTTAAAATGTTATTGCAACCAGTAAAATCATAGTAATATTTTTAAAAGGAGGAATTGGTATCAACAAATGAGAAAATATTAAACTTAATAACATGTTATAAAATGTTCATAGTTACAAAATCATATGATATAACTATTATATTAAAAGATATAAACTCATACTGTATTTCTATCCACAGAGACTTACCTGGTATTAGAAACAGGACTTATTAACCATTGCATAGACTGAGCAAGGCTAAATCACTGTTTTACAATTGTAAGAAAATAATAAATCACTGTGCTCTTCTAGAAAAATGGAAAGTAACACAAAAGCTTAATATCTATTGGCCTGGATGTTTGATTCAGTAAGAAAACTCCCCACATTAGGAAATGTGTTATGTGTGCTTCTGGGGACCAAAATGTCAGCAAAATTATTGTTCCTAAGACAGACATTGTACTTATTAAGAGAATGGACAGCACCTGGTAGTTTATATGGCTTCTTTGTTTTGATTTTTTTAAAAAGATATCCAAAGATTCTAGAGCAGGGCACTCTAAGCATTTGAATATCTACTTGTTTTTATACAAGAGGCTCAGAAGGACAGATCATTTGCTCTGAGTTGCATTTCCATGATATATATATATATATATATATAACAGAAGATACAATAAAATATATTAAATAAGATGAGTAGTTGTATCAAACACCTAACTACTGAGGTTATGTGTCATTGTTAGCCAACATGTGAATGTTGGCAACTGAATCTACATTCTCCAAAAGAGCAGGTAGTGCTGTTAAACATGAATTCTCTAACCCCCTTTTCAAAACTCTAAAATATTTAGGTAAAAGACATTTACAATAAAATCAAATTCAAACGTTATATTTAAACATTTTTGATTTACAAATAAATTGGAGATTCAATAACAGGCATGACTAAAGCATGACTAACTTTTCTTCTGTAATTCATAATACCATTGATAATGGGTTTTAAAATTGTACGTTTCTAAATATTCAAAATTTCTTTAATAGAAAGTGTGGTATTTATCTTTCTAAGTGTGCATTACTTCACCTGGGATAATTGTTCCCAGCTTTACCCACTTACCTGCAAATTTTATACTTTCATTTATTTTGTTTTCTCTTATCCAAGGTTTCTTGCATTCTGAGAATAGAAAGACAGTGGTACAATAGGAAGGTTCTACAGAAATAAAGGTTAATCTACAGAAATAAAGGTACTTATTAGATGCACATATTATCTACATTTTATGAGTCCACTAAGATGGAGATATGTAAATTCATATCCATGGTGACTAAAACATAAAAGAATTCTTACATTTTGCTCAACTGGGATGGCTATCTACATAAAAAAAGATAACTCTTACATGAAAATAATGAGTAAAGGCTATATAAAGGATAAAAGGAGTAAGGGTATAGTAAAAATCCAAATGAAATGAATTTTATCACCAAGCTTGTAGTTTTCTTCATTTGGAAGGTGCACAGTAGACCTGAAGCCGTATATGAACCAGGAAGTGGGAACTCATGACACACCCCTGCTCCCCAGCCTGCACAATACTAAGAAGTAAATTTGGGATATTTAGACTCTATCTACAGCTAATGATATTAGGCTAACATTTTCAAAGCCCACAGTTTGATTAGTCACACCAGAATAAAGCTGAAATCTAAACAAAACACAGAAACTGAAAAGTTGTGTGCTCCTTAGCATTACATTATATTATCCTGACTAAATTAACATCTTAAATGATTCTAGTTCAATGAAAAGAATAATTTCACTTATTTTTGAAAGTTTAATATGCCGTTGAGATTTTTCAGATAGCAATTAATGTGACATTCTTATATAACCACCACCTGCCTCACCCCACCCTGCTTATGACCTCAATTCAGTTGTCTATGGAGTTACTAGATTCAGATACATCCTCTCTTTTGGAAGACAGTATGATAATATTTTGCTTAATTTGATTGGTTTAAATTGAACTTGAATATGGATACATAGGTTGCTTAGATCAGGATGCTGGAAAGGAACATATGCACATCGAGAGAAGGCATGGAGAAGACAATCAGAGTGCATCATCAGTCTCCCCCCAGGTCTCATCCTGATCTCCTCTCTCTTTGCTGCAGGGAAGCCACACAGTCCACAATGGAGAACAGTACAGAGGTGACTAAGTTCATTCTTGCAGGGTTAACAGATGACCCAGAGCTCCAGGTCCCACTCTTCATTGTCTTCCTTCTCATCTATCTCAGCACTGTGCTTGGCAACCTGGGCATGATAGGGTTGATTCTGCTGGACTCACATCTCCACACTCCCATGTACCTTTTCCTCAGCCACCTCTCTCTGGTGGACTTTGGTTATTCTTCAGCTGTCACACCCAAAGTGATAGCAGGTCTCCTTTCAACAGATAAAGTCATATCCCATGACGCTTGTGGCACCCAATTCTTCTTCTTTGTGGGCTTTATAACCACAGAAAGTTTCCTCCTGGCTGTCATGGCTTATGACCGCTATGCAGCAGTGTGTCAGCCCCTGCATTATACCACCACCATAACCACAAACACATGTGCTTGCCTGACTATAAGCTCCTATGTCTGTGGCTTCCTGAATTCCTCCATCCACACTGGGAACATTTTCAGGCTGTCCTTTTGCAAGTTCAATGTGATAGACCACTTCTTCTGTGACGCCCCTCCTCTCCTGGCCCTCTCATGCTCAGACACCTCTGTCACTGAGATGGTGATTTTCTTTGTGGTGGGTTTTAATGCTCTCTTCTCTATTGTAGTCATCTTGATCTCCTACCTATTTATATTCGTCACTATTTTGAGGATGCGCTCATCTGAAGGACGCCAGAAGGCCTTTTCCACCTGTGCTTCCCACCTCACTGCAGTCTCCATCTTCTATGGCACAGTCATCTTCATGTACTTACAGCCCAGCTCCAGCCACACCATGGGCACTGACAAGATGGCATCTGTATTCTACACCATGGTCATCCCCATGCTGAACCCTCTGGTCTATAGCCTGAGGAACAAAGAGGTCAAGGGTGCATTCAAAAAAGCTGTGGGGAATGCAAAATCTTCTATAACACTCAAATTTTAGTTTCACATCAAATATACAATAAAACAGCCTCATTTACTTTCTAAATATATGGAAAATATTGACTATTCAGTCCCTGTATTTTTAATTATTAATGTTTTCAGCTAGTTGTGAAGCTTGAAGATGAAGGTAATTTAGAAATAAGAGGTCTAGAACCAATTAGTTAGAAGCAATCAGCCATCAAGAAGGAATAGTAAATTTAAAGAACTTTTTAAATAAATGTAGTCACACCCGCTATCTCATGTTCATATAGACATATACATTCATGTGTGCATCATGCATTGCACATACCTCTGTCTCTATTTCATGATAGACCCTTGGGAAAAATCTTTACTAGTTACATAAATGACCATGGCTAGTATCTAGAACATACAAACAATATCTAAAAAAAAACAATATAGGAAATAAATAACTCAACTTAAAATCTTGGCATGGAACTAAACAGAGAATATTCAAAAGAAGAAACACAATTTTCTCTCAAATGTTCTTCACATGTTCAAATTCTGAAACAGGAGGGGAATTCAAATTAACACTACTTTGAGATTTCATCTTGCTCCTGTCAGAAAGGCTAAGATCATAAGCAAAAAAATAAATAAATAAATGCTGAAATCAATAAGGGGAAAGGAGAATACATTTTCACTGTTAGTGTAAGTAAAAACTGGTATAGTCACTATGGAAATCAGTATAAATGTTCCTCTAAAAGCTAGAAATAAATCTACCATGTGATCCAGTTATAGCTGTCCTGACATATTCCCAAAGAATCTGTAACCCACTACAGAGACACTTGTTCATCCATGTTTGATGCTACTCTGTTCAATATCAAGAAATGGAGACAGCTTAGATGCTCATCAAAAGATGAATGGATAATGAAAGTGTAAAACATATATATATATATATATATATATATATATATGTT